TTATTTATTTTTCCCTGGACTTGGGTGTCTGAGACTCTTCCGTGGGCAACCTAGGGTGAAGGTATTTCTTTGGCTGTTCTTGATGTGGGACCTGCTCTGTCTGATGTCTGAGTGCTCTGAGTCACAAAGCACTGCAGCCACTGCCCGTGGGGTCAGGGTGGGTGGAGGAAGAGGATTTCTTTGTCATCAGCCTTGAGTTGGTCTCTGTGTGAATGAGAGAAACCAACTCTTGCTTTGGGACTTTTATCAGGATTGTGAAGATCTTATCTTCTATCACCACATAATATCCGGCTCAGGAAATCTTTTCACTAGAGAGGGAAAGAGACAGACCTGAGCTGTTTTCAAGAGAATAACTAGGAGGCAAAAATTGACATGGTCTGAGTCAGAACATGACTTGGTAACCCAGCAGGCAGCCTTGCTTGTACTTGCTTTTCATCACTCAGCTGGATGCCTCTGGCTGGAGGTAAGGGCTGGAGACAGAGCTGTGCCCTGCTGCTGGTGCTCCCGGGTCACCATGCACCCTCTGTGTGGGAGCTGTGCTTACAAGGGAGGGCAGGGGGCTGTTGGGAGCCCTCCCAGGGAGGGTGAGTCAACAACAAATTCACGTGCTCAGGGTGTCAACCAGGGCCTGTTGGGATGGATGTCGTCCAAGGGCAGTTTGTTGAAAGCCCCACGTGCATGCACGTGCCTGGCGTTTGCTTGATACCTCTGTGTATTTTGCAACAAAAAGGCTGTGTGCTCTGTGCATCACACAGATGCACTCTCAGTTCCCAGGTGGTGGTTGTGCTTGATCTCGAAAAGAGCATAGCAGCATGGGGAAAGGGTCTCGTGAAAGCCTCCCTTCCCTCAAATCACCTTACTGAAACTGGTGCAGGAGCCCTGCCACTGGCCCTGGAGGAGAAACAAATGAAGATGCTCAGTTTGGGTGCAGCAGAATTCTTTAGGAAAGGGTGGCCCAGCTCATGCATCTGCTTCTTCACTTATGTGCATGAGGAGGGGAAGGTTTCCTTGCAGAGGTGGGGTCTAGAAGCTGCAGTGGTGGGGTGCTACAGGCACCTCCCTTTTCTGAGTGAGTTGGCAGGGGCAGGAGCAATGCATCCTTCATGTTGAGTTCAGAGCCCTGGAGAGGTGCACAGCAGTGCTCTGGGCTACCCTGTGGGCTGACTCCAAGGCTGGGGAGAATCAGGGAACTCCCATTTCTTATGAGCTTGATAATGCATCGGGAGTTTCTTGTACAGAGCCTGCGCTGCGTAGCCTGGCTATTGAGGTTTGACACAGCTGAGAGTGATGGAATGAGAGTGGAATGGGGTTGCTACAGAAAGTGAAAAACATCTTAGCCTTGAAGGGGGACGTTGGTGTCCAGTGCCATCTCTCCCAGAGCCCTCTTTGTCCAGTGGTATGCACAGATTTGGGCAACTGAGTACATGGCAGGTGTGGAGGGTACTCTGCAAACTCTTTGGGATGCTTTGTGGACACACAGGTCCACTCCTGTGATTGCTGTGGCCACTTGGACCAGATGAGGGGTTGCCAGTATCCACTCCTGGCCCGGGCAACTCAGGGCTGGGTCAGGCCCAGGTTGCAAGCTCCTGCATGCCCTGGAGTACATCTCCATCACACTGCCCTGGGGTGTCTCCACACCCAGTTCCACCCACAGACACAGCTGAGGACTGGGGCCAAAATCTAGCCTGTGGGATCTCTTCTTGGCCTGGATCAGGCATCTTTCCAGCACTCTCAATTTTTTCCCCTTGCTTGGATCCCCTCACCATCCAGAACCAGGCCTACAACTTGGGTGGCCTGGCTACAATTTCTGCGGCCCTGGAACCAAAGGAAGGCTCTTCTTATCAATCTCTTCTTTGCAGCAGAGTGTGTGTGGGGGTTGGGGGGGGATGGGGCTATGCCTTGGCAAGGAGGAGACCTCCATCCTGCCCGGGCAGGGTCCTGGACAAGGTGGGCACCCTCCTTCCCCCACCGGTCTGTGGGGTGCGTTTTGGGAGAGAAGTGGCTGGCGAGCCACATCCTTCCGGCGAGCAGCTCTATCCCGGGGCTAGGGACCGAGGCGAGTTTGAAGGACAGGACACACGCAGAGAAAAAAAAAAAACCCTTGCCCTGCTCGCCCAGGTGGGCAGCAGCCGGAGGCTCTCAGAAACCGGGAGTGGCCGAGGGGGATCTGCCCCCGCGATCCCCGGAGGTGGGCAGAGCTAAGCTCTCCGTAGCCCGAGGGGTTGCCCGCTTCTTTCCTGCCGGCTGGACGAGGGAGGGAAATTGAGGGAGGGAGG